CATGCTTCTGATCAGGTGGTCAATGTCCTCCTGTGGTATCTCATTCCAGGCAACCACCAACTCCTCTCGAAGTGCTTCTGGAGTCTGAGGAGGACGTTGCAAATTGAGCAATCTCCTACCCATCATATCCCACACGTGCTCAATTGGGGATAAGTCGGGAGATCTTGGAGGCCATGGTAACAATGTGACATCATTATGTTGAAAGAAGTCTATTGTGACTCTTGCAACATGTGGTTGGGCATTATCTTGTTGGAAAGTTGGATCTGCCAGGTTGTCAAGATAGGGTAAAAGATGGGGTTCTAGAACATCGTGGATATAACGCTGCGCGTTCAGCTTACGTCTGATGAAGATTAAAGGTGACCTGGAACCATAAGCTATAGCACCCCAAACCATAACACCAACAGTGTGATGAACATGTCTTTTAACAAAAAACTGTGGATTCCTCCTTTCACCACGTCGCCTTCTAACCCTGGCACGACCATCGTGCATGCCTAAACAAAATCGAGACTCGTAACTAAAGACAATACTGTTCCATTCCTGATCCCAGAGTGACCGTTGTCTGCACCACTCGAGGCGATTACGTCGGTGTTCTCGAGTTAAAGGGAGGACCCAGTGTGGCCGGTATGAAAACAAGCCAAAACTTCTCATTCGTCGGTAAACACTTCGCATGCCAATAGGTCTTCCGTGTTCTGCAAACCATTCATTTGCAATCGACCTGGTAGTGGAGAAACGGTCCCTTAAGACCAATAATCTTAGGCGGCGATCTTCACGGTCTGTTGTTCTACGGCGGCGTCCAGTGCCCCTTGCTCTTTGCGTACGGCCTTCTCGAAGCCATGCCTGATAACACCTAACCACAGTGTCTACACTTCTTTGCACTCTAACTGCAATTGCCCAAAAAGAAAGTCCAGCTTCCCGAAGTCCCACTATACGGTCCCTATCAAACTCGCTAAGTTGACGAAATCGTACAGATCTCCGTACTCTAGGCATCGTAACCGATCGTAAAGGATGTCAAGAACCAAAATCCGCCAACGTTGATTCTTTACTGCGGCTGGTAACAATTTTCAGATACGTATTTAACGGCGAACCAGAAGAACGTTTTTGGAATTATATGAATACCGAAAAATGTGACGCTGATACTCTCACAAGACATGTTTTGAGCGTCATAGATCCATTAATAGGAAATGCCCCTAACAAACTGATTTCACAAAGCTATGATGGAGCCGCGGTAATGAGCGGTACAGGCAAAAATTAAACAAAGATATCCATTTGCTCACTATGTGCATTGCTAAGCTCATCAGTTAAACCTGATTATGTCCCAAGCTGCTTCCCCAAATGCTCAAGTTCGGGTGTTCCTTGGGGATTTGAAAGATATTCCGGGATTTTTTAATAATTTTCCTCAACGCGTAGAGGTACTGAACAGAATTGTGGGGAAAAAATTCCACAAGGAGCAACAACTCGTTGGAATTTTAATATTCGAACAATAAATTTAATGTAGTGTTTGAGAACAGAGAATCACTCATTGAATGCATGGAAGAAATACAAGAAAATTTCACTAATGATACCGTTTGCAAGGCAGCTTGCGGTATTTGCCGTATGTTAAACGATTCTGTTTTGGTGTTTTGGTTGACATTTTTTCATCATGTCATGCCTCACGTCGACATCTTGTTCAACCAGTTGCAGAAGAGAAAAACCGAGCCAGCGCAAGTTAAAACGTCTACGATAATTTGGAAAAATGTATTGTCGATGTGAGAAATAAAATTGATGACATAATAAATGAAGCCAAAAGTATTTGCACTGAACCCCAAGGCAACAAAAGGAGACGACGTAATAATAGCAGTCACGATCACCGAGTTGCCGGATTAGAAGTATGCGACAATAGAGTGAATTCTGCAAATGACACATTTCAATTCAAAGATCATTTCGTAGCCGCATCCCTTTTTGCCCCGAACACTTTGGAGAATACTGTGGCAAGTTTCCTGATGACAAGTTGGAAACTACCTGCTTGGCTTATCTCGAATTAGAAAGAAATCATTTAAAAACAGAGTTGTCTGTTATTTATGCACGGAATGATTGCCGAGATTTACATGGAACTCTGTCTCTTGAAATGTTTGATACAAAATAGTTTGGAGGAAACACTAAAAGAAACAAAAAAGCTATTAGAAATTATTGTTACAACTCCTATGTCAACATCAGAGGCTGAGCGAAATTTCTCAACATTGAAAAGAATCAAGACTTTTCTTCATAATTCTATGATTCGGGATCGCCTTACACCGTTGTCGATGATGTCCATTGAAAAGGAATTTATTTCGACCATGGAAAATTTCAACGGGAAGGTGATCGACAAATTTGCTGCCAAGAAGCAGCGCAGGATCGAACTGACATAAAAAATAGGTAAGATCGGATTTGCAGAACACCTGTTTTATTTTGCCACGAGCCGCCACTGCCAGCAGGAGTTGCTTCAGGTCGTGAATACTTAAATCTGACTTCTAAAGATGTTCCATGCGTGTCAGATGGAATTCTTATTTAACCTTTTCTTTTGGTGCCTGAGAAAAATCAAGTCACTTTCCCCACTTGCAGTGCGGTGAGTGATAAGTTATTTTCGTCCACCGAGCAGTATGCATGAAATGTCCCACCACTGTCCTTAATCTAGACGATGAAGACATAGATCTTCGAAAGCTCGAGTTTAAGTTATAAGAGTGTAATTTTGCACTACTTTGCCTTCTACCCAAAGAAATTCAAGGATATTTTCTCCTAACAGTTAAGGCAATTAACTATGAATACTAGTAATATTTAGTAATCTCAGATTTATAGGTTGAGCTGGATACGTAGCGGGGTATTATTACACACCCACTCGCGCGTTTGCGTTTTCGTATCTGACAGTATCACGAAGCGACTCGATGTTTACGTAGACGGGAGTGGTCGCGTGGAGTGGGAGCTGGAAAGGGGCGAGGCTGTACTACGCGGCCGTACCGTATCGCCGCAGCGAGGTACAGCACTCGCACGCATCAGTATCTCGGCAACCGTCGCCGCCGCGGAATGTCTACGCGTTCACAGCTCCATGCAGAGGTCTATTCCGTTTAGCTACTTTTTTTAGTAGTGGTGTTTTCACTATAGGGTTCTAGATTGTATCTCAGTGGTGCTTTAGTGCTGTGACGTGGGTGCCAAGTGTCTCCAAAGTGGAAATTAGATCTACTTCCAATTCTTCTGAGTGAATCAGGATATCTGTGCAGCAGACAAGGTTGTGTGTTAGGGTTGACATCCCATGTTTTTTTAAATAAATGAGATTTTTATAACGTTGTATAGTAGACGACAACAATATTGTACTCGTTTACATTTTTTGCCGATACTCATAAAACGGCTATAAAACCGAGAACCGAAGGCATGAGGACAGAGACGGATTTGAAAATTTTAAAGCATTTTCTCTTCCAAGTCTGGATGAGATGAGAGATGACTGAATCAAGTTGTTGAAGTCACGTCGGTTGCTATTGAAATGAATTATCTACACATTAGTTTTCATACTATTAACCAAAATATGTGTATGATGGTAGCGATGTCAAATATGTAAAGGTACTTACCTAATTTGCTATGTTGTGGAGCCTTCTTCCAGAAACACGCACTTCAAGATCATTCGCCTAAATAGATATTTCATTTCACTTTCACATTTTACTTATTTATCTAAAAAATGTGCTACACAAACATGTGTTAATCCTTTTCTTCCGATGAATATGTTTCCGAGTACCGCTCTGCTGCATCGCGCTTTATTCACCTGCGTGTGGGGCTCGCGAGGGGGGTGGGCGGATTCAGGTCTTCATAGCGCAGTCACATTATGTGAACTTGTTGCTATGACTGTAACGAAATAGTGCGATTTTTTTGATTCGCTACATTCAAACCACTTATATCGAACTATTAGAGCGTTTTAGGTTATTCAAATGACCCTCGTATAAATCGTTACTTCAATGCTACTTTTTTAGGTTAATAACTGTGGCATGCTGGCCATTTTCGATTGTACAAATAAAGCCAGAATTGCGGACCGACTTAATTTTTCTTCAGCTGATACAATTAATCTTAGCAGTGACGGTTGAGGTTTTCTAGGGGTTTTCCTCGCCCAAGTGCGAATGCAGTCATTAAAAAACCATATTCCTCTAATAAAGAGCAGAGAAAATGAAAATCGTACTTCTCCTATTAATGATCATGTAATCTTAGATCAAATAGTTAATAAATATATTTATATAATAAAACATCGTTTTTTCTAATTGTTGGAAGTCCCGTCCCGTATTCAGAAAGTATTTTATCCTATAGAACTGGGCGTTTATAAAAGTGTTCAGAAACATTAACGTTTCGCCGCATAGACGCCAAGCGACGCAAAATGTAGATAACAGCTTTTTTTTAGTTTTTTTTTGCAAACGTTGCTAGGCCACAAATTTTATATATCTCCGTTGGTATCCCTTAATATTTTATCCAAAGCTGCTTTTTTATAACATTCTAGCAAAGTAGCAGAGGTAGCAAAATTGTCCGATGAGCTGGCAACGGCGCAATCTAGGTGTCAAGAACGACAAGATCGTATGTCTATCTCGGGGTAACGACGGAGTCATTTAGTCAAAGCGGCAGTTTTCCAATCTTCATTTGCATTTTTCAAGCGGAGTGCTACGATTTTGAGAAACATTTCACTATGGATAGTCTTCTAGAGTGTAGTAGAGTATATTTCAATAGTTGTCTTGCGTGACCATGTTATCTTTACCCGGGACGATGTAGGCATTGACACGTTTTACAGATACTGGTGTTTTAGGATGGAGAGTACATACTGTTTTGATTGATTTGAAGAAATTCATTAACCCATAAGTTAATAATAACTGATTATTACTATGATGTAACTAAAGATGAGGAACTGCTTGGAATACATTTTATATTCTTTCTCATGCAAAATACAAACAAATCCGCATATTTCAACAGGTATGTAGCTATAATGATAACACATAAACACTCAGTTATTGAACTTGACAAATTCGAGATTGCCATGCATTAACAAACGTCCAAACCAGCTACTAAATTTAACAGCTAGAAGATCGACCTATTATTTCTTGCATTGGCTAAAGGGTAACCGATGTATTATATATACATTCATAAGAAAAATCAGAATACATGAAAGTTGTCCTGTTTTCTCTGTACAAAGGCATCATGTTGGAATCAGAAAGTGCTCTTGCTTATAATACAATCGCTTTTTTACGATTTTATTCAATAATTCAATAGAAATCACTGATATTCAGATAGCTTTGACAGCTTCCGTCAAATTGCATTTCGACAAGGTATTTTCCCATTGGTCTAAGCTCCAAAGGTTAGTGAAATCGAGCCTGAATATCGTACACCCTTCGTAATTCATTTGACAACGACTATTTCTTTACTCACATCATACAGTGACCTGAAGTATTAGAACAATGTACAACTTCTTAGATATAATACTGAAAATTATAACAAAATAACTTTATTAAACACAACAAAAATTATTATAACAAAAAGAAATCCGGCCCTATAAAGTTTCCACAAACAGGAAAATTTGAAGGAGTGGCTGCAATGTCACCAGGATCCCCAACTTGGAAAAGGATGTCCATACCTCTGGTCCAGGTCTCGGAGTATTCGTCCCTCATCATCCAATACCCTGAAATAATAGAGACTTGATACGGTTTTGTCTACATGCTGGTTGAATATCGCCTGTATTCCTCATCAAATACGAATATTCATACAGGAAATAGCCTTAAATAATCGTTGAGCAACCCTGTATAATTGAACCAAATTTTGTCAGCTTAGTAACTGGTTGATACCTCACTTAGATCAGAGATGGACCAGCCCTAACACGCTGCTTTAGTTGTTCAGTCGAGTACACAACACTTAATATACATCCAGAACCGTCAGCCACCTAGCGGTCACAGTGGTTACATGGCTGGTAAACGCGGACTAAAATCCTTACAGTTCCAAGTGATAGCTGGTATACATTCTTGCAGTTGGCGATTCTGGTAATGGATGGCGCTTTGCTTTGCACTGTCTTACTCGCGAGTTCTAAATTTTGTCACATAATGAGCAATATTTTATATATTTTTAAACCACTTAGATACCGAATATGTAAATTTGGTGGAAAAAAATAAATAAGCTATATAATATAAATATAATCCCTTACTTATCTAGAAACTGTATTCTTGTTGGATTTAGATAGAACGGGCTATTATTATGATACAGATTACGATATATTGATCTCTGCATTTTGAGAAAATACTAATTTTGGAAATAGTTCTTAATTGGCATCCCGAAGAATCCTAGTATAAGTATTCACATCTCTTTAGCAAGTTTTAGGCTTCTGTCCATTTTTTTGAAGATCGGCTGCAGTGTAAATTGATAGGAGTAGCATTGAAATAAGACTGTTATAGTTAAAAACAGTTTGCTCATTTTATCGAATTTAAGCAAGATAGCATTTTTTCAGATAAATGATCAGGGTTTTTAAAAAACGCCATAGGGCCAATTTTTAACTGCTTACTGTGAATACCATGTTCTGTCGAAATTTAAATAAGTATATAATGCTTTTCAAAAACGTATTTTTTGAACGGGTCAATCTAGCAAGCTGCAATTTGGGATGATATAAAATTGAATGAATTAATGAACAATATGTTCTTACGCAAAAAATAACGGTAGAAAACTACAAGAATTTTAAATTGCCATTTTTACGCTAAAATATAGTTGATCCGTTCAAAATATAATTTGAGGGGGGAAGACCTAAAAATGACTGTATACACTTCACAAGTTATTTAAGAAAAACCAATTTCCAGTGGCGTCTTTTAGAGGCGCGCGAACATGTGTTTTGACAATCGTCAGATGGAAAACTGACGCGAGAATAGTAAAAAAATCACCTCTTGAATATTTGCTTCATGTTTTGGTAACGCCCTGCATACGGCATATGATCTCATCTTAGAGCATATCGCTACACTAGTTAGCAGTCAAGTGATGAGTAGCTTTAACAGCTTTTGTGAGAGGTAATTTAATGCTTTACGACGTCACGTTTAACAACTTGTCCTCATTCACACGTAGCTGTAAAATTGTTACATGTATACGTTGTTTCACGCTTACAGAGAAAGAAGGGTCGTCCATCATGTTATCAACAAAGATAAAAATCTTAATCAGTTGGAGGTCCATGAGATTCGTATTCGAAATTTCATTAATATACTCGAATATACCTTCAACAAATTATCAAGAAACCGCAAGGATTAGTCCATCGAGATAGTATCTACAGGGTGCGGCAGAGAAGACGGACGTTTTTCGGATGGGTAGTACTCTCCGCCTCCGTCTACGAGAGAGGTGGGGAGGGTGCCGTTTGACTCGCGAGATCCTAGCATTATTTTACCAGTTGTCGTTATGGAGCCTTGGACGGTGGAGCACCGCGTTTTCGCCTATGATTGTTTCGTCCGAAATAATGAGTCAGTCATCGTCGTACAGCGTGAGTTTCGTCGCCACTTCAACATTCATCGGAATAGAGCTGTTCCCTCTCGAAACACCATCCTTCGTTGGGTTGAATCACTTCGCAGACATGGTGAACTGATCAACAGAAGACCAAGAGGAGCGCCGCGAACAGTTCGAACTCCTGAAAATGTTGAACGCGTTCGACAGGTCTTTCTTCGCAGTCCGACTCGATCTGCCCGGAAACATGCTGCTGCACTTCACCTTAGTGATCGTTCGGTAAGGCGAATTTTGCATATGGATCTCCGCTTTCACCGCTACAAATTGGCCATTGGCAACAGTTACAGCCCGGAAGTTATGCACTACGAATGAACTTCGCACGTGAGATGGAAGTCGCCCAAGTTGAGAGAGCGATGTTGGAGAGAGTCTACGCGAACTTCCAAGAACGCCTCCAGCACTGCATCAACGATTTCGGCCACCACACGCCTGATGTGATTTTCCACACTTGACTGTCTCAAATGCTATTTCCTTGTGAACCTGATTCCATCAATAAATTTGTTTTCGAGTAAAAATTAACTATTTTAAGATTTTCTTAAAACCGTCCATCCTCTCTGCCGCACCCTGCATTAAAATCTCTTTTCGTTGTAGAAAAATACGTTGAACCCGTATGTCACGATCAAATTTTTCATCATATTTATTGAACAAGAAATTGAATGGCTGCACACGTTTACATCCAATTTCTCTCGGTATATAGGACGTGTTTTAAATCTTGAAAGTAATTGAATGTAAAAGTGTGCAAAGAATAATTGCGCATCCGAATTCGTTCTATCAACTTTTTCTCTCGCAATATTTTTCAGCTGAAAGACTCTCAGATAACACTCAGGTAACAGATGCACGATGAGGACTAAGGTTTAATAACAAAGTACATAATTAATAAGACTTTTGGTTCACAGATGAAAATAAATGCATGAAATAGATAGTGTTCTAAATGAACTAAATTTCCCTGATTTTTATTATATACTGACATATAAATCCGAACACCCAGTTTAAATGGTTTTATTTTTATGAAAGTTGGTGAATGTATTTATCTTACTGTAAATAACAAGTGAAAAAATTTTCAGCCTTATCAGTTGGACATTCCGGTTTTTATACTGTTTTTTTTTTAATTCACTAACGCTCTAAAAATGAATATTTCAACCGCAGTGAAGAATCAACGTTGGCGGATTTTGGTTCTTGACATCCTTTACGATCGGTTACGATGCCTAGAGTACGGAGACCTGTACGATTTCCTCAACTTAGTGAGTTTGAGAGGGGCCGTATAGTGGGACTTCGGGAAGCTGGACTTTCTTTTCGGGCAATTGCAGTTAGAGTGCAAAGAAGTGTAGACACTGTGGTTAGGTGTTGCCAGGCATGGCTTCGAGAAGGCCGTACGCAAATAGCAAGGGGCACTGGACGCCGCCGTAGAACAACAGACCGTGAAGATCGCCGCCTAAGATTATTGGCCTCAAGGACCGTTTCTCCACTACCAGGTCCATTGCAAATGAATGGTTTGCAGAACACGGAAGACCTATTGGCATGCGAAGTGTTTACTGACTAATGAGAAGTTTTGGCTTGTTTTCATACCGGCCACACTGGGTCCTCCATTAAACTCGAGAACACCGACGTAATCGCCTTGAGTGGTGCAGACAACGGTCACTCTGGGATCAGGAATGGAACAGTATTGTCTTTAGTGACGAGTCTCGATTTTGCTTAGGCATGCACGATGGTCGTGCCAGGGTTAGAAGGCGACGTGGTGAAAGGAAGAATCCACAGTTTTTTGTTGAAAGACATGTTATATATATATAGCTTATGGTTCCAGGTCACCTTTAATCTTCATCAGAGGTAACATGAACGCGCAGCGTTATATCCACGAAGTTCTAGAACCCCATCTTTTACCCTATCTTGATACCCTGGCAGATCGAACTTTCCAACAACATAATGCCCGACCACATGTTGCAAGAGTCACAATAGACTTCTTTCAACATAATGATGTCACATTGTTACCATGGCCACCAAGATCTCCCGACTTATCCCCAATTGAGCACGTGTGGGATATGATGGGTAGGAGATTGCTCAATTTGCAACGTCCTCCTCAGACTCTAGAAGCACTTCGAGAGGAGTTGGTGGTTGCCTGGAATGAGATACCACAGGAGGACATTGACCACCTGATCAGAAGCATCCCTAGGCGCGTTGGAGAATGCGTAGCACATCAGGGTGCATCCACACATTATTAAAGGTCAAAGGGCTTTAAAGCAGTGCAATCATTTTGAAATTTTTATCATTTACTTATTATGCTTCATTAAGTACTTATACAAAATTTTATTAAAATAAAACCATTTAAACTGGGTGTTCGGATTTATATGTCACTTAGTATACATGCAATATGGCAAGATAGCGTTTTATTGTAGTATAGCGTTTTGACGTAGTATTGTAGTTATTCGTTTTGTGATCACTTGTCCTTCTGAGTTTCTATGATTCTGAGCTTATTCATTTCTTGTCCGGTCTGGACATTCATATTACTGAAACTTTTCTATGAAACAATTTGATGAAGTTTTAAAATTTTGGGGTTAGTTTCGCTCTAAAATCGAAGAAAGCAACCTGTCATGACTGTCAGTGCTGTCCAATTACCACGATTCGTTTTAGGGGTCATAAAAACTTAAGCGCGCTGTCCAAAACCTACAAACTAGCGGCGTCGTTTTGTTCCACGACAATGTTCGGTCTGAGGCTGCTATAAAAACACAGACACAACTGGGCAAGCTTCGATGTAAATTACAGGATAATCCACTATTCAGCCCTAACTCAGCACCATCAGACTTTCATCTTTTTAAAATGATCTTGCTGGAAAGCGCTTGGGAAATGGCATGTTAAAAGAAACAGGTACGAACTGGTTTAACAGTCAGGCCACAGCCGTCTTTGATGACTGGATCAAAAACCTGGTGCTATGACTTGACGAATGTTCAAGCATATTTAGGGCTGCAATCTTTCCGGCTCTTTTCTGTCCTATTCGTTTTTACATCTCCAGCCTGTCCGGCTTTTTGGTCTACGTGGTATTCGTAATCTATTTAACCGGCTATTGAGAAAATTATACAAAAGCCGTCCTCTCGCCTTCGATATTCAATTCAATTATCCCAGTGGCATTCGCTGTCAGAAGTGCTGATGCAGTTTCCCTTTCCCTGGATATCAATGCTCAACCGCGTTTATGTAAATAAGGTGTTTCTCGATTAAAAAACGGTTCTTACTTAAAAAATGATCCTCGTAGTTCAGAAGTATGGTGATAAGATCGCTATCATAGGGATTATTTTACATAACACGAGTGCTGGCTGAGTTATTAAAATCATACATGCATGTCACGTTTACAGATCGTTCGATAAATATCTTAACCTGACCCAGTGGCGATAGAGGTTATGCCATATCCCCCAAAGATTCTACACTAATGTTCTGAAACATGTATGAAAGTTCATTGAAATTCAGGTTTGACAAAGCAGAAACAATTAACAAATGATAATTCCTCGAAGCGCGCCACGTTTCCAAAGCGGATGCAAAAACAAAAACATCCCCTCGTGCAGCGGAAATTCGACCTGGAAATGAAACTCGCAGCAGCATTTTCCAAATATATTGCACACACTGCCGTGGAACATATTACATCCGTTTGACGGATAGAATCAGTCGGGAACAATTAGATTATTGTTGGAAATCCACTGAAAAACGGAATTTCTAGCGACTCCCAACATTGTATGTGTTCGACAATTATATGCTAATCGGATGGTGTATCATTGAAACATCACCAGCTTATTGAATATTAAGAAATTACATATAATTCAGTCAAAATTTAAACAAATGTTTGATTTTTGAATAAAATTCATGTTTTAATTACCATTGTTGATTTTTTATTCATGATAATATTATTTTCTTCAACTGATATGCGATTTTACTGATTCAAGATCATCTACTGGGTGTTTTTTTCCTATAAACCTGTTGCAGATAGCCATTAAGCACCTACCAAAAAGTTCATAGATATTGCTCGTTTCCAAACATTCATTCGTTTACTTGCCGTTCATCAGAACCATTATGGCACCTTACATTGATATTCCCACAAAACCGTTCTGGTTTTTTAATATCCATAGATCCATAAAGTTGAATATTTTTCGTTGTTCAGGAACTTAACAAACATGCACACTAAATTCACAGCGCACAACAAATCCTCAAACATATGTCTTAAATCTCCCGCCAAAGTTAAAACCTGCAGAAAAACAAGAAATTTGCAATAACTTTCTTGTTGCACTGAGTACATATTCGGGGTTATATTTATATTAGACGTTATTTGGATCGCAAAACATATACACTGATTTGAATAACAGCTGATTATCTCCTGATATTTTAAAGCTAATCATATCGACAAGTGACACATAATTCTGTGGGATCCGTCAACACTTCGTCCCAGTGGTAGTGGTGTCTTCTACAAAGTAATCGTTTATTGTATTCGTTACTTTGATTACTATGAGTAGTATGAGTATAACGATTTGGCAATGTGCGTCGTATGATTAATGTCGAATTTAAACAAGTTGAATGGAACCGAATCTTGTAAGAAAATAGACGACCTTAAAATTTGCAAAATGAAGCATAGTTTATTCAAGACTATCGTGTTTAATGCAAACATTGTATGTTCAAACTGTATGCTTATCGAGATGAGTTATCATAGGATGGAGTGTCATATGACTCATATGAGCCTACAAACTGAAAATACTTTGTATTTACTAGAAATACTTGAAAACATGTCTTTTAGTCAGAAAGATGATCTGTGTATGGGCTTAAGGAAATTCGAAATGGCATGTGACTTTTCGAAGCATTTCAATTAAGCATAATATACCAGTATAAAGAATTCTACGTTGAGCTTGGTCTACACATATTATTAGTGGTCATACTGAATGATAATTTTTTTAGCAAAACAGTGCATGGAAACACGAGTCAAATTGACATAACTTTTATTATTGTGGTTTTCCTGAATGGTGGTGTTACCTTGTTGTCGCTTTTCTGCATCATAATACTGCCGAACTTTGATCCGATCCAATCGACTACTTATTCCTTTTCAGGTTCCCAAAATCACAACAATAAAAGCGAATTTGTGTCACGGTGTAAATAGGTAAACTTCAGATTTAAAAACAATTACCAAATTCTTTGTCCGCCAATAAAAAAAAAATGAGTTTCCAGGTTTCCATCTGAATGTGGGATGTCTGGCAACACTGTTGCATGAGCGGTAGTGCTACAGTCTAACCAGCGTTACCACTCAACGATCAACGATTGTACAGGTACCGGGTAGGGATACGGAAAACAGAGTAATCAAAGTAATCATTTCGTGCTCGGATTGGTACTCGTTACTTCGGGTATATATGAGTAACGAGTCCTCGAGTTTCGTATGATTACTCTTTCAACACCACTACCCAGTGGAGCAAACTCTGCCAACTGTCTAAATAAACTTTATTAATTCCAAGTCTTATTTTTGTTTTACTGCGCCTGCTTAGATATTCAAATACGGCCAGGAATTATTAGCGCCTGGCTATTTCAGGCCTTCAATAACTCCTTACTTTAGATCTCTCCTTATTTTGTTTTTCCACGCATTCATGGTAGAAACCAATATTTTATCACAATTTATAATTCTTTTTAGCTCTTATTTTTCAGTAATTACTAATAATTTTAGGTCTATGTCAACAGTAATTGCATTATGCACCTCGGAGGTGTAGGGATTAACATGTTTTACACATATCGGTGATTTAGGATGGGGACGACCATACTGTTTTGATTGCTTTGAAGAAATTCATTAACCCATGAATTTATAACAAATGATTACTATTATGATGTAAAGAGAGATGAGGAATTGGTTGGAATACATTTTATATTCTATTTTCTTGCAAATATGCACAATTCAACAGGTATGTGTAGCTATAATGATCTCATAATATACACACAGTATATTGAACTTAACAAATTTCGAGATTGCCAGGAATTAACAAACGACCAAACCTGCTTCCAAATTTAACAGCTAGAAAATCGACCTATTATTTCTCCCAATCCCATTCGCTGAGGGGATAACGGATTGTTAAATGTAAACCTATAACATATATCAAAATACATGAAAGTTGTCCTGTTTTTTCTGTACAAAAGCATCATGTTGGAATCAAAAAGTGGTCTTGTTTAATACAGTCGAATTTTTACGATTTTATTCAACATTTTAATAGAAATCACTGATATTCTGACACCTTTGACAGCTTCTGTCAAATTGCATTTCGATAAGGTATTTTCCTATTGGTCCATAATAATAATGTTGGTGAAATCGGCCATTAGTCATGTAAGATCTTTAGACGGTATTCGGATAGAAGATTTTGATTGGTCTAAGTTAACAGGAAAAAACGCATGCAACAGCGAAGCTTTAAATGGAATGATTAGATTACGAAATGATTCGTAAGATATTTCGATACCACATGTCCACAAAAACTAATTGATAAGTCGAACTAAAAAATGAAAAATACACAATAGTTAAAAAAAAACTCACTTTTATCGCCAACCGAAGTACAAAGTAGAAAATGATTTTTAATTACAGTTTATATTACAGTAGTAGATGGCCGAACAATCAATCATAATTAATGCCTTTAAAATGGAATTATAATAAAATTAAAGGTATTAACAGAATAATTCAATTCAGAGTAAAAAGCGTCGGGTGCATTTTACTACATTTTCATCTCTCTCTCTCTCTCTCTCTTTTACTCTGAATTGAAAATTGAAACATAAATTTTACTATAATTTTATTTTGACGTCACTAATCATGATTGATTGTTCGACCATCTACTATTGTAATATAAACTCCTTATACTTGAGAATTATTGTCTAGTTTTTAGTTCGGTTAGCTATAAAAGCGTGTTCTTTCAGTTTTTTCAAACCACCATTTATTCACAATACCTCATCACGTTTTAATGTCTGTTGGCGTGAATAGCTGATTAACAAGCTGCATCTTGGCATTAAAAGTCTGTATTGGCAACAATATATTTCGTACAACTTAGGACTTATCCAGATCTATTTACATCAAACTCTAATGAACCTTTTTTCAAATATTATAGCCATATTGCTTTTCTAAATAAAAGCCTTGTTAAAAAATCTGTATCCCTAGCGTACGCAAAGCCATAATAAAATAAGGCTCTGTCTTAATCTCTCATATTTTGTTTTAGTAGAAAACGTGAAGCTTTAAAATTATTCTAATGAAACACATACCTGCATTCTGCGCCAAAAATCTGAGGACTACCACTCCGTTCCTTGGCACCCTTATTGTATCCTTAATGACAGGATTCAGTAGATTTCTACTAACGAGCTCATTTTTTAGGTCGAGCTGTTGTATCTGTTGTGCTGTTAAGGGCGCTGGAAAAGTTCTGCTCCCAACCACGTAGAAATGATATCCGTGCAGATGGAATACGGTTTCCTCCTGGTCTACACCTGGAATGGAGGACATTTTGTCAAGTAGGTTGACTCTCTTTTCTCGAAGGCTGTTACAAGTTATTTTTCACTTTAGGTACATTCAATAAAACGACGTTGAGGTTAACGTTGCAATTCCCACAAAATGCTCATCACTTCATAGAAAATTATATTCGACACAAGTTGGTCCCTCTTAGATAAAATTTAGCTACAAACATGTAGAACAAAGGAACTAGTTGGATCATATCAGTCAAACAGGCTCGAGCAATTGGTCCATAGTCCCCTCAGAGTCGTCAGCAGTACCATTTATCCTACCGCCCTGCTGACAGTACCAACCACCTATTAACGTAGTAATGCAGCACGGCGTTGCATACGCGAATACATCCATTATTTTAACGGCAATTGTGCGGGGAATCTATGATGTATGAAATAATAATAAACGGCTTTATTGGTGGAGTTTATCATAGCTCTTCTTACACTCAACCATTATCATGCTGAATTAAAACTTAATACAAATTACATTTTCACGTACAGGGTCCGTCAGAAAGAACGAATGTTTTTCGAATGGGTACTACATCGAGTGGGCTGGTCCCATGTCGGTGGGAAAGGGCGTGTTGGATAGTGGGAGAAGTGCCGTTTCAGCTGGCAAGATGGTTTGGAACGTTGAGCATCGTGCGTGCACTGTACTTTCAAAATGGCGAGTCTGTCGTTCAAACGCAACGTGAGTTTCGCGTTCACTTTCGTGTTTCACATCGTGGGACAGTACCAGACCGTGACATCATTTTGAGATGGGTGGAAGCATTGAACACAACAGGTATGTGATGAAGGAAAAACCTCCAGGGCGAAACCGTACTGTTAGAACTCCCGAAAACGTAGGCAGAATGAGAGTTAACGCGCTGCAAAGCCGGAATCGTTCCGTCCGTTTGCGTCCTCTGTCCGACGCATCTTGAAGAAGGATTCAGTGTTCCATCCTTACAAAATCCAAGTTTGTCAACAACTGTTGCCAGAGGATTATGCACAACGGGTTAGTTTTGCACAGCTCATGATTGAACAGTTGGATAACAATGACATGGCGTTGTTTATGAGTGATGAAGGCCATTTTCATTTACATGGATACTTCAATAAACAAAATTCTCGATATTTTTTCCAGTGAACCCCCAACAGTTGCATGAGCACCCCCTGCATTCCCCGAAAGTTACAGTTTGCTGTGCGTTAGGTCCAACGATGATTATTGGCCCTTATCTTTTGAGGATGATGGAGATACAACTACTGGGAATTCAGAGCGTTACATCCACATACTGAACAACTTTTTTCCGGAACTTTGACGTCGACGAGTCTATCTCAGAACAGTGTGGTTTCAACAAGACGGGGCAATATCTCACACAGCTCGAATTTCGATGAAACTTCTTCGGCAAAAATTGCCAGAACGTCTCATTCCAACTATGGCGATATTCCATGGCCCCCTCGCTCCCCGGACCTGTCAACGTGTAATTTTTTTATGGGGCTACCTGAAATCAAAAGTTTGCCAAAGCAAGCCTGGGACCCTCGTCGATTTGAAGGTTGAAATAAGAAGAGAAGTAACCCAAATTCCTGCACGGATGCTGGCCGACGCAATGGGCTCATTTCGGGAGAGGCTTGATTCCTGCATTTCGGCTCAAGGGCGCCATATGGCCAACATAATTTTTAGAACATAAATTTTGTTTTATGAGTGTTTTGATGTAGTAAAATATTTTTCCCATGCTTACTTTGACTGTACTACTCATTTAAAAAACATGCATTCTTTCTAACGGACCCTGTATATAATAAATGATTGTATGTCTGAATCTCTAACCTCAAAGAAATAATGGTAATCTCTCACATGGTCATATAATATGTCTGATAGGTCCGTATAATTACCGGGGCTGGAGAAGTATAAATTGCCAGGACCAAAGATTGACCTTCTACCACCCCCTACAGCTCCCAACATTCAATGTTTAGCCCATCAAAATGTTTATCTGAAGTGATCGGAATCCTCTGGAACGTCAAAAGAAAAGGAGTTTGTTCGAAAATTTCTTTGAACTTTTAGCGGTACTTTATCATTTGTGAAATTTTCCGCGATTGCAATACTTGTTCGCCAGTGGCGTGGAAAATAAAATTTGTCAGACCTTGAAACTTCACCCTGACGAAACTCATTATCACTTGCGTAATTATCCTCGCTGTAAAACTTTTCTACAATCCTGCGTACAATGAAATTCTCTGATTACCTTCATTAACTCCATTTTGAACGCTAACGCCTTGTGTACAAAATGCGTTGGGGAAAACCGCTGGAGGAGAAGAACCGAACTCTGATAACGTCTACCAAATTGGGCTGTTTTTCTTCTTGTTGTTGAGGTTCGTACGCAAGTTTCCTACCCTGTGGGTATATTTCAGGGACGAAGCTAAACACGACCGTTATTAAACTCGGCACTAAAACTACAAAAAAAAAATATAGGTTGAAACTCTACTTCTCACGCAACGCCATGATCATTCCCTACAGTATTAGGTTTAGCACAAGCCAGACCTTCTGAAAAAAATGGTTAGCTTCGAACATGTATAACAAAGAAATTAAACGGATCAAGTCATCCAAATAGGCCCATGCAATTCATTTATACTATTCCTGACCTACCATCTGGCAACGGCGCATCTCCCCATACTTGACCGCACAACGCGTAAGACGTGCCACAGCGGCACTGATACCAGAACGCTTATCAAGACTGGCACGCTCGCCGGCGAACGCAGAGATCAGAAGTAGGGACGTGTATCAAACAAATTTCTGATTTTAAGTCCTCGCAATTTTTTTTCTGAAAACGATCAGGAGCATGTGAAACGTCAAAAACTATAATTTGGGCGATTTCCATTTCTCACTTTTTCCACCGGACCGATTTTCAAAAACTACAAAGCTGTTTCATCCTTGGGAGAGCGGTATTATCCAAGTTATAGACAAGCCAAGGATTAGCGGACAGACAGACCGACAGACAGACCGACCGAAATGAGTCACATGATTCAAATCTTATGTACATGTCATATAACGTCCAAAACATATAACATTTTCGAATTATTATTTTTCCCAATTAAATGACTCGCTAGTAGACGTGGAATATGGAAACAGGTCTCCGCATTAAATAAAAAATGGTATCAACTTCGGCAACATCGGTAACACCTTTAGGCCAACCTATTTTCAAATATTTCGATGAAACCGCCTCGAAAGTGTATTGTAACATCTGCTCTCTTGAAACAGAGTTTCTTAATATTGTCAATCTGAAAAAGGCACTCTGTAAGCTGAGGCAGACTACGCTCATATATTTTATAATCTGCCAGAAGAGGCTTTGTAGGTGAGTGACTGATTTGCTTTCTATTCCTAACATACCGTCATATATGTATTTCTTTGTGATACAGCCGCTTGGACAAGAACCTAAACACCGGAGAACCGCGAGTGCTATAAGTAGCCTAAGGATACCCTTTTATTCAATTTTTGAACTGCCTAAGGCTAGCACATCTAGGAAAAACCTTCTCATGCAGATTGTTCCAAAATCTCTTCATCTTAGGAACAAATGATGTGCCAGTTCTGGATGTACGAACTTCGACAGTTTTAGGTTGGAAGGCAGAAGCCTGCCGGGTCCGTCTCGCAGGAACACCGCGCGGCAGCATCATGGAGGGGAGCTCTGTGGAGAAGCTGATTGACATCGCGGTAGAAGCCGACAGCCCTGCAGTCATAAAAGAATCCGATGCTGTGTGTTAGAGAAAATGTATCACTCAGTCGGACAGTTCTTCACCATATGCGTCGACTATCGACAATATAGTCGTGACTCGGGACAGCAGAGCCCCAAACGTGTGAGCAGTACTCGGGGCTGGGTCTGATCTGGGCCTTGTAGAGAACGAGGAAGGCTATGTATAGAGACATACTTTTTATCGCTAAACATACAGGGTGTAAACGTTATGGTAGTCATTATTGAAACGGGTAATAGGGGGGGTCAGTACAAGTCAAAAAGTTCATATGACCCATGGTCCAAAAGTCATTAGATTTTTGTCCAAATGGCTTCATAGTTTACAACTTTAAGTGCTTTGTATCGACCACAATCACCACAATCTTACTAATTTTAAATAATCTAATCTAAAACGTTCTAAATTGGGTAAATAACAAATTAATGGCATTCAGTTTTTCTAAAATATGCCAAATTTGTAGTCAGTAAGTAAGTTTCATTAAATTAAATATTTAAAACACACGTGACAACAGCGCGTCGGTCTTTCATCACTATTATCGAACCGGCAATCGATCGCAAGTGGTTAGTTATCGCTTTGCATAGATAAATTACTCTATCGTTTTGTCGATCAGAGCATCGGGCGTGTTGTTTTGTTTTTGTTCACGTACGTCGTCGTGTTTATTTACAATGTTCTCGAATCAAGAGTTCGCCGACATGATGTTAGTTTACGGTGAAGCTCATCAGAATTCAAATCTTGCACCTCAAATTTATCGCGATAAATTTCGCCAAAGGGTACACCCAGACAGAAGGACATTTGACAGGCTTCTGTACAGGTGGAGCAGGAGGAACAAAATTTAAATATCGTGGAAATCAATGCAGATATCAGCACTCTTGAATTAGGCAGCCACGTAGGACTATCGTAAACCACAGACCATAGAATCCTACGGGAAAATTTGCTATATCCCTACCATGTAGAACGAGCGCAGGCCTTGTTACCAGAAGACTATCCTCGCAGACTAACATTCTATCAGTGGTTTTTGCACAAAGACATTGAAAATCCGGATTTTTTTACAAACAGTCTAGCGACGGACGAATGTACTTTTACGCGAGACGGGATATTAAATTTCCATAATACTCACACGTGGGCCCAAAAAAATCCTCACACCATTTGTGAAGGTCATTTCAAATAACATTTTAAAATAAACATTTGGACGAGTATTCTTCACGATCAGGTAATTGGCCCTTTCGACATACCCCCAAAGTTTTTAGGAAAGGGATACCTTAGCTTTCTAGCCAATAACC